GGCTTCAGCTTAGACAGCCGTCTCAGCTGAAAAAAACAGGATTTGACAAGGGTTGCACCATTTGTTGGTAACATAGATTGCGACCCCTCTCCTCATGCTTACTTGCAGCTCTCTCTGCAACTCCTGTTTGCCTGCACACAGTGAAAGCTAGTTAACTCCACTGTAGAGTCCGGTATATCATCACAACAAGTCTCTGTGAAACACACCACTGAGGCCTCCTGAAACACAAGCTGACTCCAGATGAGTGCTGCTAGTTTGGCCATCTTATTTACCAGCGACCGATCATTCCCCATAATAATAGATAAATAATAGATTTTTTTTTTCATCCGACATGGTGCTTCGGCTAATTAAGGTTCAAGACTTGAAAAATCAAGACCAGCAGGAGAGCGGCTGTTACAGTGAGTAATGGCAAAATGAAAAACAAAAAAACATGATCTATTGGAATCTAACACAGATGATATGGAGGAGATAAAGAAATCTCTGAACTTTATGAGTACTGAAATTACAAATTTGTCAACCCAACAGAAACTTTTGATCGGTTTGTTTGAAGAAGTGAAACAATTAAGAGTACAATTAAACATGAAGGATAAAAAATAAATGAACTTGAGCATAGGATGGATGAATTGGAACAAAACTCTAGGCAAGACAATATAATCATATCTGGTCTTGCATTAAAATCTTCATATTCAAAGGCCACTTCAAGAGAAGGTATTGCTGAAGATGCATCTCCACAAGAACAGAGGACTCTCGAAGAACAGGTGGTGACTTTTCTACAGAACAAGGAAATAGACATTAAATATGAAGACATTTCTCTATGTCATACATTGCCTAACAAAGCTGAGAAATCTAAACCGATTATTGTGGTAAAATTCATTAGTAGAAATCTAGAAATGCAGTAATCATGCAGGCAAATAAACTTAAGGGAACTAATGTGTTTATTAACAAACATTTGACAAAAAGAAATGGTATCATTGCACGCGAAGCAAGGTTGTTACGGAAAAGAAAAAAGATAGTCTCAACGTAGACAAGAAATGGAAAGATATGGATTAGAGTACAGGAAGGGTTGCAAGCGAAGATAATACAAGATGTGAAGGAATTGGAAAAAATTGGATAAGTATATAAGATAAGATATATTAGAAAACTATGCTCGATGATTCACATATAAGGAGGACTAAGTAAAATGGTTTAACGAAAGACAATAGCTTACTCATGACGAATGAGGATTTGGAATTTAAAATATATAATGATGATGAAGAACTAGATAGAAATCTTTTTCCAGCTAAAAAAGACAGTAAATACTACAATGAAGAACAGTTTAAGGAAGTTAACATGACAAATGATGATCTTTCTATAATTCATTTGAACTGTAGAAGTATAAATACAAATATATCTTACATGCTAGAAAATCTCCAAAACATAAAAAAACTT